CAACGCGTATGTTTTAGTGCAACTACTCGATCCGTCCAGCAAGTCAGACCGACAATCATACCGGTACGACGCCAAGCACCGGGCCATGCGGATCAAGGACCATCATACCGGTACGACGCAAGTAGCGCAACGACACGCGACCGGTACAGCACGAAACAAACCGGTACTACCGCCCCGCGCAACAGCGCACGTCGTCATGGACGCTGCAGTAGAGCGCGTCCATGAGGCGGCGCGTCTACTGCTCGTGCGCGGACCCGACGGCCGCACGCGATGGCTGTCCCACGCTTCACATGACCTTCCACCTCTCGGCATCAGCCACGCACCGTCTACGCCCGTGACTCTGCGTCCCAAGACGACAGTGTCGCGCCGTAGCAACTGCCTCGACTTGGACGCGTTGCGTTTTCCGGACAAACGGTCTGTCTTTAGGCTCGTGCAGCCCACCGATGGCGCGCCAGAGGCTCAGAATCTGCTACTGCTGTTGCACGGACGCGGCGACTCGCACGAAACGTTTGCGCGACTGGGTGAGCACATGGCACTGCCTCAAACAGGTGCGTCTCTATGTGCTTTTTCCACGGCGTACACCGTCGTGCGAGCGCCCGTTGATAATGGCTGTGACCGTGCAACAAAGCGGTCGTGTCGCTCCGTGCTCCTCTAGAACTGCCGTTCGGTCTCGGGCGCTCGTGGGTCGACGACTTGGACGAGACGGGCGACGTCATCCCTCCGGACAGGCCACACGAGCGGCGCAGTCAGAGTCTTGAGGCAGCGAAGGACTATGTGTGGAGCTTCCTGCGCGTGCTGCACGACCGGTACGCGTGGGACTACTCTCGGCTGTTTCTGTTTGCGTTCTCGCAAGGAGCGTGCGTGGCGTTCCACTTGGCAATGACGTTGCCGCGTGACGTGCGGTTGGGAGGCGTCGTGCTCGTAGCAGGCGGCGCAGTTGCAGGTTCCCATTCGTCGTCTTGCTCGGATCCACGAGGAGGCGCCGTTGCTACGCCCATGCTCCAAGTCACTGGTGATGCAGACAACGTCTACCCGGTGCCACTCGCTCAGCGTTCGCGTCGCGACTTTGCGCGCAGACATTCCGAAATTGCCGCAGCCGAGCTGTTCACGAGTGTGGTTCGACCACACAAAGGACATGCAATGATTGATGCTCAAGAGGACATGCGGCATGTCATGGGCTTCTTCTCGAAGCATTTGTACCTGCGTAACATCGCTCTGGAGAACCGTAGCGACGTCGTGGAGATCCAAACGTGAGCTGCATTGCATTAACCCCGTTCATACGAGCAAGACAAGAAGCCATATTGTAGCAGCAACGCTCTGTGCTTGGTCCACGAACAACCACTCTGTTCAGTCTATTGACTCGCCAAAGTAGCGGATCATGCCATGGGACACTTGGATGAGGCTATCGTCCTCGAGCGAGCGTAGCGCCATTTGGAACTCGGCGCTCTTGACTTCGCCCTTGTGCTTTTCCTCAAGGTGTCGGCGAGCTTCGCCGACGGCCATCGACCGGTTCGGTGCCTCGCACAGAATCTCCTTGAGCCCAGTGATCAGTGCTGCTTGCACTTCGCGTTCCAGCACACTATGGCCCGTGTTGATCATGTCCATGTCAATCGTACCAGTCCGCGGATCCATTGCTGCACGCTGCGTTGCTACATTCATGAGCCGCAGCGCTTCGTCCACGTCGCCACGCGTCACGGTCTCACACAACTTGAGCTTTGCAAGTGCTTCGGAAATCCGGACAAGCGACTCGAGCTGTCGAGGCGTTGCCGTAATGTTTTTCTTGGCCGATGCAGCACTTGCACCGCCCATTCTGCGGAGGTCCAAGTACGCACGGATGAGCGCATCTCGGGCCTCAGCTGACAGCCGTGGGTGGACATTCCGTTTAGCATACGCAATGTACTCGGTGAGCAGCTTCATGCTGATAAGCTGAGGTGCAGCGTCCCCGCCTCGAGCTTGCGCACGCACGCGCACACGTGTTTCTTCGTCGTAATACAGTGCGACAATGTGTTTCGCCAGTTTGCGGTCCGATTCCGGCTGCGGCTTATCCAGGATGAGGTAAATGAGGTCAAAACGTGAAAGAAGTGTGGGCAGGATGTTCACGTTCTCCACGACCGACTTGTTCGGGTTGTAGCGCGACTCGATTGGGTTGGCTGACGCGAGAATGGACGCCCGCGCGTTGAGAGAACAAATGATGCCAGCCTTGGCGATACTCACAGTCTGCTGCTCCATGACTTCGTGCAGCACGGAGCGAGCCGAATCGCTCATTTTGTCGAACTCGTCGATACAGCAAATACCCTCGTCCGATAGCACCAATGCACCCGACTCAAGCACGAGATCGTTCGTCTCCATATCGCGGATAAGCGACGCAGTGAGGCCGACAGCAGAACTGCCTTTGCCAGACGTGTATATACTACGCGGCGACAGTTTGTGTACGTACGACAGCAACTGCGACTTTGACGTACCAGGGTCTCCACACAACAGCACGTTCATGTCAGACCGCATGCTTTTGCGCTTTACCGCCATACCGTCACGCTCGTGCCCTTCTTCGTGCTCGTTCACGCTGCCGCTACTTCCGTCCTTGCGAGTCCCACCGAAAAGCATGCACAAGATACCCTTCTTCACATCATCCAGTTCCCAGATTGACGGTGCCAACGAGTGAGCCAAATTCGCGTACACCCGAGGATGGGCTGCAATGCGGCGGAAAGCTGCTAATTTACGTGCCTGCTGGGCGTCGGCCACCGCTGCGGCATCGCCGTGTTCCTCTGACGGATCCGGCATTTCCACGTCAATATCGACCGGCCCAATCGCGCTAGTCTCGACCTCGTTCACCTCCTCGCCAACGGGATTGAGGTCCCTGCCATTTTCACCCTCTTCGCGCCGCGTGAGTTCGTCCACGCGACGGAAGTGCACGACGTCCACATACGTCTTGAACACAGATTTGACTACTCGCTGGCGCCAGTTCGAACGCATCGGAACAGCACGGTAAATGCCCGTGACTTCCACCTTGTCACCCGGGCGCACGCCGTCGACGAGGTCGTCGAACGCAAACAAGAGGACCGTGTACGGCGTCTCGCCTTCAGGGATAGCATCCGGCGTCTCCTGCATCTTGATCATCTGCTTGTCCGTAAAAGCACACCGGTTGTGGATCATCTCCATACTCATGCGCGAGGAACAGCGCTCGCAGCTGGTGGGTTCCTCGATCCGTCCGCGGTCCAATGCCACCTGCGTCGTTGCATGACAGATTGCGCAGCGGAAAAATGCCTCCTTCAAGTCCGGCAACACCCCGCTGCATCGAGTGACCATTCCTTTCAGACACACCAACTGGTCAATGTCGGACGGGTTCAAATGGCGCATGGGCGATAAGTCAAGCAAGTTATACGGCCGCACTTGCAAGGCCGCGTTGGCCACAGGGTCAATAGCGTCCACTGCAGCTCCGGCACCAGCTAGTAACGCCTGATACTCCTCCATCACCACCATGTCCAGGATACGAATCAGCACCTGTGGGAACAAAATCAGCTGATTGTACAACTTCCGTGCACCGCGAAATTGACGCAGGTGCTGTGTGTCTAGATCCAGCACGAGCGACTGCGTCAGCGCTAGTCTCCGCAGTGCCTTGATGTAATACGGCTCGTCCTGCAAATCATAGCTCGCGGGTCGAAAGTGGTGCACAAAGCCTCGAAACAGCTCCATGCTCTCGGACACACTAATGTTCGTGCCCCAGACGACCGCACCAGAGTAAGCCTGCTGGTCTTCCTGTTGCGGTCCCGGAGTCGACGCTGACGCCGCCATCGACGCACTGGAGCGCGGCGAGCTCGGCGGGGACGCCAGCGGCCGCGGCAGTGCTGCATCCGTAGACGGCCACAGATCAGGTCGACTGGTGCGGCCACTGCTGCTGATCACGGAGCTATTGCTGCTACTGCTGTGGGGCGACGACGGTCGTAGCCCGTCTGAGTGTGCCGCGTGCGACGTGTGTCCTCGCTGCAGTGACTGGAACCCGTCGATTCGCCACTCTCTTCGGCCCAAATCGCCGCGCGGCAACTGGCGCTGCGCCATCCGTCGCAGCTCTGCCTCAACCTCATCGTCGCCCTGTTGTCCGGCCGCTGTTGCTGCTGCTGCTGCTGCTGTCGCTGTCACAGCTTCGTAGCGTCCGAGATACCGCGGCGCCGGCGTCGCGTCTGCTGACGCGCTCATCTCTGCGAAGCGGTAGCGTCCCGAAAGCTCCGTAGCCGACACAGCTGACGCCGAGACGGCCGAGACGGACGCCGAAGCAGGCGACGACGGCGACTGTCGTCCATTGGTCAGCGCTGGAGGAGAGTCAGGCGTCGAGGGTGAGCCAGGAGGAGCATCGGAGAGTGCAGTGGCTGGTGCGGTGTGCGTCAAGTACCGAGGGGCGGGTCGCAGAGGGCTTAGGGGCGACGGCGGCGTCGAGGGCGGCGTCCCGTTCCCGTCCATTGCGTTCGGCGCGGGTTCAAATGACCCATGCATGTGGGGGTGCGTCACCAGATGGGTACACGCGTTTTTACAAATTGGGTACATTGTTATACTGCTTCACCTGTTTAGCACAATCTGCTCCTGCGACTTGCTCTGAGCTACGCGAGCTGTGCGGACACTATGCGCTTTTCAATGCACCATCGTAATACCACTTGTCCCGCATGAAACGCCGAGCAGACATTAGACAGCCTCCATGGCCGGCGTGAGCTCATCCAGCGCAGCCAGTAAACCGCCGCTCCGCGGTTGGCTCAGAGGGGCACGCGTAGACCCGGTGGCCGACGAAGGAGCCGATCCATTCGCCAACAACTCGCGCCGCTTCTCCTCGACACGTTTCGCACGGATCTTGGACACAATGTCGTCCACGTCTCCAGTCTTTAGCGTTGCAAAGCTGCTCTTCTTCTTCTTGAGCTTGAGCTGCTCGAGGCGCTTCTTGGTCTCCTCCTCCCGACGAATCTTCCGCTCCTCGGCAATGCGCTTACGCTCATTGTCACGGTCGGCTGACTGCAGCACCTTGGCAAACGAATAGAATATCGAGAAAAACGCGTCCGGACCAGAGTCCAGGCTCGAGGGGTCCTCTCCGTAGTACGACACCGTCTCCCCGAAACGCTTCGTCATGCTTTCGAGTTCCTTCGCAGTGCGCTCGGATGTCCTCCGTGCGCGATCAGCAATAGGCTTGACCACCTCCTGAAAACGGTCCGAAATCTTTTCAGGTTCTTCATCAGAGCCTGGCGTTTTCTCGGGCTGCGGGTACTCCTTCTCTGGCAGTTTCGCATGCACCTCAAGCTCGTTGCAAATGAGAGTCGCGGCCTTGCGCACTGCGCTTTCACCGGCTTTTAGCACCTGCATGGTGACGCGGCTTGCGCTCTCAATGGACGGCAGGCTCTTGTCAAACTCAAGGATCGCTGGGTCTTTCGCTCGCAGCAGCTTGGCGAGGTAATTGAGCAAATTGATCGAATTATCCGCCGCCTTCACCTGGTTCAGCTTGAGCAATATGTTCAAACGGAAACCCTTCGCCCCGCCGCGCGCCGTGCCATCATTCAGAGCGTTTCCAAGCGATAGCACGACGCGAAAGATCTCCTTCAACGGCTCGCACGCTTGCAACTCACGGCATGCGTTCGAAACAGACTCCATGAGCTTGCGCTGCTCTTCCACGTATGCGTCAAACTGCCACGTCGCATGGATCGCTTGCAACCGGGTGGACAACCGCGGAATGCAAAGCATCTCACGAAAGTACTGCTCCGCATCACCGAGAAGCTTCGGGTCACCAGCATAATTCCGTATAGCATCTACCTCTTCGTCTTCTGGAGCAAACTGGAGAAGTGCAGACACACGTTCGACGGAGAGGAGACCCTTGTCGACTAGCAGCACAGCATTCCGGAGCTTATAGTACGGCAACCGGAATCGTGCTAGCATGATGCCAATGTTGTTCGCGCGCTTGGCGTCAATCAGGGCAACGCGGGTCGGTGCTCGCCGTTTCAGTGGCTTCTTGACCTCCGACTCTTTTGCTTTCGGAGGCTTATTCACGAAGATGTCAGATAGCTGATCAACGTATTGGTTGACAATGTCCTTCTTCGCTGCAGTAGACTCAGGCTTCTGTGACCTTGCTCGCGCTGCAAACAGACCCACAACGCTCGGAGGACCCGCTGGCGCTCCGAGTTCATACTTCTTTTTCTCTTCGTCTTCCCTTGCAAACTTTTCCCAAATCGTGCCGGCAGTCTCCTCGCTTTTCACTGCCTCCCAGTACAAGTTCCGAAGCTTAGGTTTCGGAGCGCCCACCATGACGGGTTTCGCCTCTGCCGCTGCGGATGCAGTGAACGAGTTCTCCGAGATCATTGCATCCGGTGTGTCTAATAATTTTGGGTCTAGCGACTCCGCGCTCATTTTCAGCTCCACCTGTGGACGCGGCATGCCCATCTTCAATAACTTAAAATACTTGACGTAGCACGAGTGATCCGATACCTTCACCATCTTCTCATCACCTACTTTCGTTTCCTTTCCATCTTTACCTACCAACTTGTCCGGCGTGTCGAGAAGATCGCCGTCCAGTCCTTCCGATATTGCCTTCAGCTTAATCTGGGACAGCGGCATACCCATGTTCTTCAGCTTGAAAAATTTAACAAACTTCTCGTGCTCTTTTACAGGTACACTCTGCACGACGGGCGTCACACTCTGCACTTCCTTTCCATCCTCGTCAACCAGCTTGTCGGGTGTGTCCAGGAGATTGGCGTCCAGACCCTCCGACAATACTTTTAACTTCACGTGCTCCATAGGCATTCCCATCTTCAGCAGCTTATAAAATTTTGCAAACTTCTCACTTTCTTTCACGGGTACGCTCTTACGCTGCTCCGTGGCCATCTCCATTTTCTTTCCGCCCCCGTCTACTAGTACATCAGGAGTACAAAGCAATTCGCCATCCAAACCTTCAGCAGATGCTTTCACTTTGACGTGTTCGAGCGGCATCCCCATCTTCAGCAGCTTGAAAAACTTAGCAAACTTTTCGTGCTCTTTCACAGGAACGCCTTTCACAACTACTGCCTCGACAAGCTTGCTTCCATCTTTCGTCAGTAAAGCATCTGGGGTAGAAAGCAACTCGCCATCCAATCCCTCTGCGGACGCCTTCAGCTTCACCTGTTCCAGCGGCATACCCATCTTCATTAACTTGAAAAACTTGACGTATTTCTCGTGCTCTTTCACAGGAATCCCTCGTGACGGCTGCTCCACTTGTCCAAGCACAAACAAGTTGCCTTCTTTGTCCACAAGCTGATCGGGCGTGCTCAACAAAGATGCATCCAAGCCTTCGGACGATGCCTTCAGCTGGACTTGCTCAAGAGGCATTCCCATCTTCAGCAGCTTGAAGAACTTGGCAAACTTTTCGTGATCCTTGACTTGAATGCCAGCTGAACCTGTCGTGTTCATACTCTTCCTTACTTCCGTGCCATCATCAGCGAGAAGCAGGTCCGGGGTCTCCAACATCGAACAATCAAGTCCCTCTGCGGACATCTTCAGGTGAATATGTGGCAACGGCATGCCCATCTTCTTCAACTTGAAGAACTTGGCATACTTCTCGTGTTCCTCAGCTCGTGTTCCCTTTCTCTCAGCTTCTCCGTCCGATCTAGCAAGCGGAACCATCTTGTCAGGCGTTTCCAAAACCGATGGATCGAATGTCTGCAACTCACTGCTCATCTTCAGCTGGATTTGATGCATTGGCATCCCCATCTTCAGCAGCTTGAAGTATTTCACTAGCTCCGGGTGCTCGTGAGCAGCCACAGTCGAGGGCGCATCTTCTTCATCGGTTTCATCTGCTGTCACATCCGAAAGCGAAAGATCGTCATGGTCCCGATCCATATTCTCAATCAAAATGATCGGACCCATACGAAAGTGGAACGACGGATCACTGTCAGCACACTTCTGGAGGAATTGCGCATAGCGGTCACGCATCTTCAACAACGTCTTGCGGTCGTCATATCCCAAATCAAAATTGCGTACTTCCTCGACGGGAGCTAATAACGTAATCTGTTTTATCACTTTCTCTGACATTGCCCACATCTCTTTCCCGATCACGCGGTCGCCCGGAACAAAAAGCAATTGCTGTAGAATCGACAGAAAACATGCCTGTAGCTCAGGTTCGTTCGTCATGCTGTCGAATAAAGACCGATATACACTGTCCACCGAGGACAGGTCGGTCTGCTCATAAATCGTGTCCTTCCGGTCATCTTCCATAAACTGCTCAAACACATCAATTTGTTTCTCCATGTTATCAAGCTGATTCCGGAGCTGCGTCACGGAGCTACTGATGATGCTATTGCCTCCATTTCCGAACCGGTGCGTGCCTTTGTTGTCCAGAGGAAGCGAAGAGCGCACTATTGTACCATCGGGAGAAAGGGACGCTGGCTCTCGGTCAACGGGGGATGGCGGCGCGCTTCTACTTGCCAAAAGACGCGCATCGTCCTTGCATTTACGTGCAGACAACCGCCGTCCACCGAGGGACTTCAAGGAGTCTAGTTTGGACACAGGGGTTCCTGGACACACTCCTCGCCCAGCGACTGGTGATTCGGAGGACCGGCTGCTTAGAACTGGTGACGTAGTGTTCCTTGCAACGTGTCTGCTGACCAACGGCGAAGGAGTGGCTGGAAAACCGGGCACTGGAGACGGAATGCCGTAAAAACCTTCCTCCACCGACGCGACAGTAGCAGAAGTAGCAAGAGGATACTTTGTACGCTGCACAGCAAGCGATTTGGCCCGAATTTCTTCAAAGTAACCAGCCATCTTCAGCGCCATAAAGTCGGAACGAATCGCTAGCCGATCTTCCAGTCGAATAGCTTTGTTCACAATGATATTCACAAAGCTCAACACGTCTTCCTTGAACACCAGCGAGTATCTCGTTGACTTGAGCGCATCTCGCAAACAACTGAAGCGGATGTTCTCGCCTTTCGTTTCCTTGTAATGGTCGAACGCTTCAATAACAGCGGTGTGCCCCGCCGCACTGTTGTAGCACACGATTCCGAGTAGCTGTAGTGTGTACTTCTTCACGTCCCCATTCTCTGTATGGAAGCAAAGAGCCACCCGCTTAACTAGTCCAGGTGTGTTGGTTATTGCTTCTACTCCAGCCGTAAAATGAGTCAGTGAGCGCAATATCCGCAAAATCACCTCGCACACGCGCGTTGCTTTCTCGTACTTGGAGTGCTCAATGGGAAACGGGGACGGATCAGGAAGCTTCATCGTCAGGTAGTCCAAACCGAAATGAGCCAGGAAAGACTCTAGCCAGTCGGTCGATGCAATCGATATCTTGCCGCGAAGCGCCTCGAGGTCCTTCAGACCCTTGTTGTCCCACCTCAATTCCACCAGGTTCTCAGCAAATCTCTTTGCCTCTGTTGCGTTCGACTTTGTATTGTCTTCATTCTCATTTTGCTGGGCGTACCAGACAACATGCCACTTCGTTTCCAGTGACTCGATACGAACGAGCTCGTCCATGACGTCTTCGGGCACTCCGCGCTTCGACATCAACTCGCGGTACATCTCGTCTACGGTTTCCCATCTCTGCGGCTTAGGCGGCTTTTCTTTCTCCCTCGGTGCCGTACCACCAGTAGGAATCCTCGTAGCAAAGAAGCCTCGAAAGTACTGCAGTTTCTCGTTAAAGTTTCCATCCTGGACAGGATTTGACATGGAAATGGACGAGCGAAAGAAGCTGTTGCGTCGTGGCTTTGACGACGACGACGACGGAGCCACGTAACTGCTGCTCTCGAGTCTCTCCGACTCGCGCCGGAATTCCATCAATAACGGCCACGCCGTCGGATCTTTTTGCAGCTGTATCGCGTACTTGACAATTTGCTCAAACGGCATGTCATCAATTGCTGTCTTATGGAGCATCTGCAGGATATCGCCCGTCTTGACGCGTCCTGTCGACTCGACATAGCCGGGCTTTCCTCCCTGCGTTGGCCGGAACCCCTTGACTACAGCTCCGCGCTGAGGTTTGTCTCGTTCAATGTGTCGCGCGCGCAGGTCGAGACCGAGAGGTCCTGGCGTCGGCACTTCCAGGCAAAACACAAGCGCACGGTCGTTCGCATTCGGATCGCTGCCCAAGAAGGGACTGCTGCTGGCCACCGACATGGACGAAAACGACGGCGTAGTCGCGAGCGACGCAGATGTCATCAAGTTTGGGGACTCGCGCGCAACGTTAGGGTTGTGACTGGTGTTGCTGTAGCCAAAGCTGCTGCTATTGCTGCTGTTGTTGTTGTTGCCACCATTTAGCGAGCCGCGACGCTTGCGCCACATGGACAGACGCTAGTCACTAGTCGATGCGCCAGCGCGCGTTCTTCACGAGTGGCAGGTGGCAGAGAGTGCGGGCGCTCGCACCGGCGGGCGAGGTCAGGAGCTGTCTATCGGTCTGATCGACGTCGGCTGTCAAGGGCACACTGTACCGTCCTCATGTACACCACGCGAAGAACACGGCGCAGCTGTGTCCGACGCTTTGCAACACAGTGTGGCTCCCTTTCGGCCAATCACGAGCTGCGCACAGCAAAACCGCTGCTGACTCCTCGCCATTGTTTAAAACGTACGAAAAGAACACAAACTTTGTCTGCGGCTGCTTCGCCGACGCCGCTACTGCTGTTGCTGCTGCTGCGTCCATTGCTGCCACTGCGTCTGCCTTTCCACACGCGTCTCTACCACAGCTACTACTACCGCCTCTGTCCCCGCCGTCATGTGCATCTTGTGCTCGAGTGATCCTGTGGACGGCGATGTGCGCAAGGACAACCCCGGCGCGTTCCACGTGGGCATGATGAAGGCGCCGGGCGCCGACCCCGTGTGTACGTGACAGCCGCGTCCTGCTGCCGGTCGTGTCGCGCGGGCGCTGTAGCTGACGTGTCTCGATCGCGGTATCTGTAGGCTGTTTGGCATCGTGTCTGTGTCCGTGCTGTGCGCAGATTGTGATCCGTCGCAAGGCGCTCAACTACGACATGAGCAACTACACGTGCTGTCAGGGCTACATGGACGGCATCGTGCCCTGCGCGCGCTCTGGCCAGTGTGGCGAGTCTAGCTGCCCCAATGGCTGTCTTTGTCTCGAGGTTCGTCCATTGACGCTGCTCGTGGCTGTAGGATAGCCAGCTGAGTCATGGCCGCCTCTTGCATGTGCTCACGTTGATGACGACACTTGTTGTTGTTGTTGTTGTTAGGCCTTTTGTTGCAATGGCTGTGCCGTGTCTGCTACACGCATGCTGGTCATGGACCGCTACCGTCTGCAGCCCGACAAGTGGGACAACCGCATTATTGTACGGATTCACGAGCGACCCTGTGACACTTGACGGAGGAGGGCTTTACTAACGACATTTTTTTGCGTGCCGTGTGTGTGACGGGGCTGCCGTAGCGATGCAACAATTGTATCCAGCTCGTTAGCTGCGTCTGCAGTCTGCTGTCCATCTGCATCTCGGAGCTCGGCGAACTCGCGAATCTCTTGCACTGCGTCGCACAGTGCACGTATGCTTCGACGCAAGGCTGTATGACCGCGCAAGTAAACGTGGAGCTTCGCGAACGCGAGAAGGGCTTTGAGGTGCCAGACGAGACCATGGACCGCGTCTGAGCGCGCAGACTTACGCAGTTGAGCCATCGAGTCGTGGCCAGACAGGTTTAGCTTGTAGCTCGGAAACTCGATCAAGCTTTGCACGTGTTTATGCTTTGCGCGAATGCACTTTTGCTCATCATGCGGTTGTTTGCGACTTTTGGCACCTCATTGAATTGTTGGCAAGGGGTCTGATACTGACGATAGTCTGGAAGTCACATGAAGTGAGTGCGATGCATAGCTCGTCTCGACATTCACTTCTCTTTTGGCAACTCTTGATTGCAGCTGTGCTGTGCGACGATCGATTCCCGTCACGACAGGATCATTTGCTCGGATTGGAGCCGCAGTATCGATGCAAACCTGATGAGATCAATTAATGCCGAGACATTGTGCAGAGAGGTTATATTTCTTGCAATTATATTGCGTTTCTAAGTGCAAAAAATCCAGTTGTCACATCGACAGTCGACAGGTTTCTAAAGTTTGGGGACGCATAGGGTGTGTTCGCACTTGATTTTCCGCTGCTTCGTGCAAAAACCAGTGCCGCCGACATTATTTACGGCCTCAAGCGACAAGTCCACAGCTTATCGCGAGTCTTTTGCCTTTTATTGCGGGTGGCGTGTTTGACAAAGTCCCACGAGTTCTGAAGTGCCAATAACATTCCGGCATAGAAATGGGTTAGCATAGAGCAGCTTTGGGTCGACATAAGATGACGGGGCAGATACGTAGTTGAGACGTCGTCACGTAACTGAAGCGTATAGTCGCACGATACAAACAGAACGTAGCAAGACGCGCGGCTAGAGACGTCGCTAGCCGTGACGGTGTTTCTCCGAGCGACCAAGTGCGCGGTACGCGACCACATTTACGACCGATAGCCGCGTGTCGACATGTGCGAGACAGATTGCTCACATCCTGTCGGCTCCCGCAGTTGAGGATATCTGTCGGATTGGGTGTCTTGCCAGGACAGAGACGTGAACTGAATTTTGCTGAACTTGGGGCATCCGGGAGTTTGTTGCGACGTAGAAAATGAAAGAGAGTGCGCGTACGTCTCTTAACAGTTGTTGCAAGGTCCCTTCGGCGGACATGGCCAAGCATGTCGGGGTGGGTATGCCGAGCAAAAACTCAAAGAAATACTGTGACGCTTGCGTTAAACGCATGGATCGCGCAGAACGCGTGGTCTTGCGCTGAGCACTTGACGCGTACAGTTGGTTGGTGGTGTCATCACGTACACGCTATTCCGGATTTGGACAGTGAGAAGTGATTCGGTAATCAGAGGTGAAAAGCGCGCACCCCGTCTCTGAAGTCCAATCGACGCTGACGGTATCGTATCTATAAGCTGTCCGACCTGGTGAGGACGATCCTGTGCGTTGTACGATATTCTCGGTGGCAAGAAAGAGGAAGATGCTGTCGTAAATGCCATACATGGTACACGTTTATAAAATCGCTGTGAAGATGATTTCTACGGGAATATATAGTGAATGGACGAACCGAAATCGTCGTCAGAGCATAAAAATGGCAGTCACAATGACGGTAAGTTTAGCAGCTCGGACGTGTGATTGTGAAACAAAGTGAGTTCGACAACTGGATCGAGCCCAAAGTTTATGTGGCTAGAAAACACAGGTGGTGGGAATTAGTTTACCCATAATGTCTCGGCCTTCGTTGGCAGATGGAAACCATGGCATGAAGCAAGACACCTTGGAGTATTCGCTTGGTCCATTAAAACCTGTCGAGCTCACATTCTGAGACCCACGCCTATGTGTGATAATGAGAGGCCGATACTGGACACAGTAGTATCGCTACTATAAACAGGTTGGCTTAGTTTAAGTTGTAGGGGGTGGTGTTAATTTACTAGCTACGTCAAAGCTTGTACAGGCATGATCTCGACTCTAGCGCTGGTTATCCGATGCAGCTATCATCTGGCTCAATCCATTGCGTGTGAAGGCGCACTAGACTGCGCAATGCCTCAAGTCCAATAGTCGTCAATCGCTTGCACTCGCACTCCAAGTGTTAGGTGCACCACTTCTTCAGCATGGAATGAATGGCCAATAATCGATGAAGCTACGTTCTCATTACGTTGCATCTTACCGTCGCGCAGTGACACAGCAAGGTAAGATTGGCCAAAAAGCGTCTGTGTAGGGTGCGTGAGTACTGAGTGTCAAAAAACGTGAACGTTGCATTTAAGTAGGCTTGCAGCGGGGTGAGCCCGTTTCATAAAAATCGATATTTTATATCAATTTTGAACATTATCTATTTCGATAATGTTCGATTGACATTACTCGTAAGGAGTAAGGTTAAAGAAATATCACCGCCGAGGTTGATATTTCTTCAAATGGGTCGCTCCACCTCATGGTAGATGTTCACGATACATCAACCAGATTAACCACCAATCGCTGCTGGACGCGCGCATGGGTGGTGAGCAGGAAACCCGAAACCCACATAGGAGATTGTATTTTAATATACTTAGCTCAAGACAAAAGATGGTTTATCGAGAAACATAAGTATATTAAATACAGTTCTACTTTTTCCAAGACAGATATTTCGAGTTCTACCTACTTCGCTGCGCTTCCTCACGCCCTCGTGTACGTGACACATGTCACGACATCTTGATGACCCCACTGTTGAAAATGTTGGATATTTGAAATGGGTGCGAGAGCAAGAATAGGCGATCGGAGTGGTCGGCCGGTGACTTGAGGTTTATTTGGGGTCATGATGTCATAAACTTACTGTGCGCAAATGGCGGACGCAGAGTGACAAGCAGAATAGTGTTTGTATTCAGGTAGTTTCAGAATGCGTGCGAGATAGATGACTGGAGCAGAGGGCTTCGGGGAGCACGGCAGAGGAGAGAGACCAGTAAGAAGCAATACAGAATCTTATCGTCCACCTACTGCCTCCTACTGCAACGCATACTTACCAACAGGTTATGAGCCCAATTGCTGGAGCAAACGAAACGACTGTCAAGACACCAGGAGGTGTCGCGCAGCTGCGCCAGGGCGTGGTTCACCAGCGCGTGTGCCCTCGTCGGCGAGTACGCCGGCAGTCGTTAAAGGGGCGTCCACCTACGAACGGGGCGAGGCGGCCGATGACAAGATCCTCGCGGCCCTCACCGCAGTGACCGACCGCCTGTCGAAGATCGAGTCTTCAAAGCGCGTCAAAGACGAAGATTAGCGGATTCTTGAAGCTGTCGATAGCGGCATGTTTGCGTCTAAGCTTGAAGCGAAAATGAGTGGACGCCCTATGACCATCGATGCGCTTGTGCTACTGGAGGAGAAACCAGCAGCGCATCGTGCGGGCTCGCGCTGTCCAGATGACGGCGAGTCGATGTTCGCCTCTCTCGCGCTGCCGCGCGGACATCATCCAGCTAAACATCGCATGCCGGCGCAAGCTGACGAGCCCATGGCCGCGCCGCGTCAAGAGGCGCCGCCATCTTCGACGCACATGGCAGCAGCGATTGGCAACTACGGGATGCCGACCGCGAGCCAGCGAAAGCTCAACATTTGCATGTTTGATGGGACGGAGCTTTACAAAGGACTCGTGAGCGGGTTTTTGACTGGGGACGCACCTTCATGCGCGCTGTGAGCCTCGCTGAGGCGTCTTGTGGCCGGTACTGCGGAGCGCTACTACCGCAAACAGGTCGACACTTAATGGGTGCAGCAGCCAAGACTTGAGCACGTCATGGAGCAGCTGCACCTGACGTTTAGGACTACAATCACTGCGAGCCAGGCCATGAAGCTGTTCATGGCAAAGAAAGAAGCGCGACGCACCTGGGACGAGCATTATTTATACATGGTGGCCGTCAGCGATGCGCGCGGTGGAGCCGACTTACTCGTACTCGACAACATCGTGCATCACGCGTCGCCGGAGTTGATGAACGTCATGCAGGCGAAGTACGACCCGACGCGTGTTGACTACCTGCGCCAAGCTGAAGAGCTAGCACACTTTGCGCAGCCGATCGAGCTCGGCAGCGGCGCGGTTGGTCGCGAGGTCGTTGCGGCGCATGTTAAGGTGAAGCGTCAAGATACGCGAACGTGTTTCCGCTACGGCAGGACGTGACATGTCGTGTCTGAATGCAAGGCAAGAGTTGTATTTGATTATTATACAAGCAACACGAGAGGAAGCGGCAACATGGTCCTCGCGCTCACGGAGAAAGCGTCCGCGGCTCGCGCGAAAGGAAACAAGAGCAAGAAGAAGAAGAAGAACTCACGCAGGAAAGCGACTCGTGCGAGCGTCGCTAGCAATAACGGGCTGGCTGCAACCTGCGCGAGCGGTTTTGTGCTCTCTGCAAACGATGCGATTGGCGTTAATCGAGGCGACTGGATCCTTGACAGCGGCGCGAGCAGACATCTCGTGAACAACGAGTCGGTGGTGATCGAACCGGCTGCCTGAGTCCACGAGATCGCCATGGCAGATGGTGAGTCTCTGCGGCTGACGCGGGTCAGGTGTATTCGACTCGAGGTACTCGCGCACGGTGCTAAGACGATTGTGACTCTGACTGAAGTTTATCTTGCGCCGCGGCTGGCGAAGAATGTCATCTCATACGGGAGGCTGGAGAGCAAAGGGTTTTCTCTCGTGTATCACGGCGGCAAACGCGCAGTAGCGCGGCGCAGCGATGGTGCAGTCGCGTTTGACGTCGCGATCGACAGCAACGTGTTATACGTTGAGACGACAGCGACACGCGGGAGGCACAGCGCTGAAGGTGCGATCATGACCGCGCTCGAAGCACTTGAGACGAATGATGATGCCGACGGTGCGCACGAAGCCTCGCTGATGCACTGGCACCAGCGACTTGGCCACCTCGCGTTCTATACAATAGAGCGCATGGCACGCGATACATTGTCGGCATCCGACTAAGCAGCAACAAGCGCATGGCGTGCGTGTCTTGCCTCGAGGGCGAGCAGACGCGCAACGCGCAGTCTCAGAAGGACAGCGGTGCTAGCTTTCGAATCTACAGGATCGGCAGTGTCATCTGCTCGGATCTCAAAGCCCGATGACGCTGTAGGACCGCCTCGGCAATCGAGATATGGTGA